CCCCAAAACCCCAAAACCCCAAAACCCCATATCACCTAAATCCCCCAAATCGGTCACATTCCAGTTCAAAAATGAAGAATTTTTTAATTCAGCCGAAAACAGGAGTTTTACAAAAAATAGCAAAAATTAACAATTTTAAAAGGTGCGAACAAGGGAAATGTGACTGATTTTAAGATTTTTTGAGGGGGTTAGTAAGAAAAATCACAAAGAATTGCACCTAGGTGAGTGTGCTTAGTAAGATTGGGCTAATTTGAGGTAATAAATGGGTTATTTAGACAATTGAATAGGAAGATAGAAATTTATCCAAACACATTTACTGCTTATTTTTCAAGTTTCAGCTTTTTGCTAAATGTAGAAATCAATATTTCTTCATTTAGGTCATATCCTTTATTAATTCTTTTTCTGGACTTCTTAAAGATAGGACTTTCATAAGGACTTCTAGACAGAATAAGTGAGGCTAAATGAAGACTTACGTCTGAGTGGAATCATCTCTTTCCATACTTTCATATCTTCTCTTTCTGAAGTAAAAATCCTTTCCCTTCCTCTGAATGCCCTCGAGATCATAGCCTTTAGAGTTAGAGCTTGAATCGTAATTACTGTCTATAAAATCAGGTGATGAAAGCCAAGATCTTACCTAGATGAAGAATGTCTTGTGGTGTCATATCTTTTAAGGTACCACAGATGAATAGCTCCAGAATGCAGATTACTGAGCTCAGGGTTAAAACCGCAGACCAGTCTTTAGAAAGTGCTTTAACTAGAAGCCTCCCTGAAGAATCAATATCATCATGTGTAATATTGTTCAGATTATACACATGCGGAGGCTCAAAGGGGTATCTCGGAGGGATGATTATGTGCCAATGGTATATCAATTTTTCTCCATCCTCTAAAATAAATGAGATTCTGACAAATCTCTAGTAATTATATTCCCCAATTTTTAGTGGAAAATTCAAACGGAGGGATAAATTTGCCACCAAACTCACCTGATTTAACAGTTGCTAAGGGAATAATTATGTTTTTCTGGAGCTGTAATGATGAATTATCTGAGGTTGAATCATCATAGTCCATTTCAGCCTCTCCTTTATTATCTTCATTGTATCAGCTAAGACTGCTGGACATTGCTGGTTTTCTTGACTGAGGTGTTTCAATTTCAAGTTCTTTCTCATGTGGTTCTTGCACATAAACATCTAAAATAAATTGATTCTGAAATACTGCTGAAATTTTAGAGATTTCAACTACAAAGTTATTTCAAACTTCTGAGCAATTTCTTTTGCATTAATTACAAATTGTTGCTAAGCAGAAATTTTAGTGTATTAAAAACTTACCTATCTTATCTGACTGAGTAGATGGAATTAGGCTCTTTTTCCTAACAGAATTCTTTCCAAATTTAACCAGTATCTCCTCAATATCTCTGGATATTCTTGCAAGAATCCTCTGAGGCCGCTCTTTAGTTGACGAACTTATCATATTTATTTATACAAATAAGTTTAACTTGGGGTTTTGGGGTTTTGGGGTTTTGGGG